AAACTTGCTGCTTTGGCAAGGGGCGTGGCAGTACTGAAACACCGTCTAAGCTGTTCGCCAATCACAACGCACTGGGACAGCTAACCAATCACATCACATTTTGTTTTTCGGAAGGCGGGCGTTCATCAAACCCGGAACTAATCGAGCCGTTTGTGCCAGACTGGGGAGAAAGGTATTGTAATAATGTAAATTATGTAAAAAATAATGCGTTTTTCGAACCACCAAGCATGAGAGCATGTTCTAGTACACCCCCAAAACAAATTCAAGACATTGTAAAAGAGCACAATAGGACCCCTTTAACTTACTGTTTATTGAACTGTATAAAATGTATAAATACAAAAAGTTGTATAAAATCAATATCACATTTGTAATTATGTTGACTTTTGGAGAAAAAAAGGGCACTCTTCGTGTGATATTAACTATATGAAATTATATAAATATATACATTTTCTGCCCCCATATCTTGAATTATGTGATAATTCTAAATGCATTTTAATAGACCGATTCATGTAGTGAAAGAACGCACTCTAAATGCGCGTCCTAGTTTAACCTACAGATTAACTGACTTCATCACCTAATGTATGTGTGCAGACTGTGCACTCTGTAGGTGTGTTTTGTTTGCTTTTTGCGATATACTTGATAATGTCGAATCGCACATCGCTAAAACAACAATTATGATATTATCGCAGACCATATATATTGCACACCCTACTGTTTAGATTTTTATAATGCATTGTCGTCTTATCTATCCACCAGTTCATATTTAAAGCGCTGTGTGTTTGCAGGGTAAAAACATTGGCCCGATTTTTCGTATTGGTCAACTCTGAACAGAACAACAGGCTTTTTGAAAATGCTTATTCTCTGCCAGCAGGTGGCGCGTTTGGTTGAAATATCACTGTTTCCCCGGTAACGGCAGAACACAAAGCAGCTGAATGTGCAGCGCCCATGTTTATTTAAAGGGTTAGTTCACCCAAAAATGAATTACTCACCCTCGTGTCATTCCAAACCCGTAAGACATTCGGAACACAAATTAAGATATTTTTGATGGAATCTGACAGCTCTCTGACCCTCCCATAGACAGCAAGGGTCCTTACACGATCAACGTCCAGAAACATAGCAAGGAGATCGGTAAAATAATCCATGTGTCATCAGGGATTCAACCGTAATTTTACGAAGCTACGAGAATACTTTTTGTGTGCAAAAGAAAAAAAAAACAACAACTTTATTCAACAATTCGTCACCCTGGTGCCATTTTGGAGAGTATCCACTGAACGCAAACAGCGTATTCTGTTCTGTGTAAGCTGCGCCATGCGGATACATTTTCTACGTTGTTTGTGCTTTGATTTGAACGAAAACAACGTATCCGTGTGGTGCAGCGGACACAGAACATTAATGAAATCGTAGCCTTTTTTGAAGTTTAATCGTCACATTCAGCCATATTGCAATTCTGGTCTTTCCATACCCAAATTTAAGACCTCTTGAAATCATAATTAAGACTTTATTGTACAATTTAAGACTTTTTAAGACCCCGCGGAAACCCTGATTTAAAGTGAATTTGGTCATGAGCAATTAAAATGCACCACATTTTCACACAGAAAATCGATTCTGGTATTAACAAGCCTTAAAGAAATGATTCCAAACTAGGGGGCCCTAATAAGTCTTAAATGATTTAAATTTAGTTATAAATCGAATTTAAAATGCTAAAGGAAACACAAAAAATTAAGATGTACAACATTAAACTGACATTATACTTTTGAGTTTATTTTTATTTCTATTTCAACAGAAGTACATATCAGGTTATACTGTATAAGAGGGTTTTGGACAAAGGGGAGCCTTGGAGTCAAAAAGGTTGAGAACCACTTTTCTAAAGGGTGTTTTCTCAAGCTCATACTTGGTGTATTCTATTTTCTAGATTCTCTAAACAAATCTGACCTTTCGCTGCTTGTGTTAAAAGTTATCCAGAGAACAGTTCTGTTTGTGGTTTTTTGATGTGTTGTGATTAATTGTCCCAGAACGATTCGTCCTATAACCACAGGGATGTGTTTTAATGTGAGGCTCAACTGAAGGTCTCAGTTTTGATGGTGCTGGTCAGAGGGTCAAGCAATGGTCTCGCTCTGGCTGTTTCTTGCTGGCTGGCTTTCATGTTGAAAGGCCAGGGCTCATGGGATAAGGCTTCAAAGGCCCTGTGAATCTTTTAATGGCCATTAAATATACAAAAGACAGTTGAAAGCAGGCCATTTTATTTTTGAACATTTCATTCCACTGTAAAGATATCTTTTATAAGCTTTCCACAAATACTTATCAAAGGAAAGCAGTTTGAAGTAGAAAGCGTTTTTTCAGCACTACTTCAATTTATCACATTGCTAAAATTTCAAGACCCTTGTATGGTTCTTTATTTTAGTCCTTTTTTGGCAGTTTTATGTTTATGTAAATGAAGAGGGAATGGGAGTAAGAAATGGAACCAATTAAACTCATGTTACTGACCACTAAGCTATGGCTCTGAAAGCAGATTGTGTTTCGTTGTAGTTAAAATGTTTTTGCTTTGTTCATTTGACTGGTTTGTGTTCATAAGAAGGTGATTGAAGTCTGGCTGTGGTTTCAGGCTGGTATGAAGGCGAGCGACTGCGGGATGGAGAGAGGGGCTGGTTCCTGGCCGAGTGCGCCGAACTCATCACCTGTCAGGCAACCATCGAGAAAAATATGCAGAGGATGGACCGTCTGCAAGGCCTAGAGACCAACGTCTGAGGCCATTACTGGACCTCTACCTCCTTCTGAGGAACGCACAGCACATGATGAAGACTGGAAGAATCTAACCACTACAGAGCAGGAACAACTTTAGTAGCTTCAAAAGATGATACAAAGGACAAATATACACCATATGTTTTACACAGTAGCTTTTATGTGATCATAAACTGAGCTCAGGGCTCATTTTAAAATATTACAAAACATTTTTTGGACTTGGAGTCCCTGTTTAAAGTGAAGGAAAGTTTTATAGCAACACAGAGATGTTCATTCTTTGAAATTACTCTCAGGGAAAATGTACTGTAAACATGAATTATGCCAAATGTAAATATGTATTCAATTTGTAAACTTTTATAATCAGCGATCAATTTATATTTGAGATTTTTATGTGCATTAAAAGATATCTCATTGCTTAAACTTTTACTATATGTCCCTTAACCTATATGTGTGTGTATAGCGAGATTAAGAACGGTCCTCCATAGACAAATGGATTATATCATGGCAAATTTAATGAATTACTGTAAAGAAAAGTACACTATAACAAGCCGATGCAAAAATAATAATAATAAAAAAGTAACCAAAAAGCTGTTTCTTATTTTGGATGCTAAAGGTATTTACTCAAACAACTACAAGTACTGATACAGTTCTCACACAGCTGTGACAGCAGATCACGTTTCTGTATGTCTCAGTTGAATGCCATTCAAATAAATAAGCTCCTATTGGTTGGTGCTCACTGACTGCCTCTCCTGGGGCCTCCAGCAGGGGTTTCCTGTGTTGTGATGAGGTCGATTATAGTGGAGAGAACAGCACAATCTTTAGATCCCCTGTCATTCCAGACCACAGGACGTGGGTTCTTTATCTTCTCCTCCAGTAACACGTCCAGCTCCTTCCTCAGGTCCTAAATTAAAAGAATAAATTTGAAGAATAAACTGCAACCCATCACTGAATGCTCTGCGGTATGATCCAAAAAATGTCAAGTTGATGCTCACCTTGACAAGGTGCGCAATGCGTGCCGGGGACTGAAACACGATCCACTCGTCCACGGCGATCGTCTCTTGGTCCTGGTCCCTCTGGATGGAAATATCCCCTCCGAAAAACAACAATGAAAACGGGGACACTTCGGTGCAGTCATAGAGGAAGAGCTTTAGAAAAAGGAGAAAAAGAAATAAATTACAAGTCAGATTTTTTTTTTTTTTATCCAGACCAACTTAAAAAAAAAAATTTACTTTATACAATTCATTTCTATAAATCTCAAGTCTCTTAAAAAAGAACAAAAAATCTCAAAAGGCTGAAACCCTTGAAAATAAAATATTTTAAAAGTAAAATTGCTTGTTTTTGTTTTAAAATATTAATAACAGTACAATTTGTCTGCCCAAGTCATCTAATCAACATAAATAATTTTGTTGTGTCATGAGACAAGAAAACCATAGAAAATAAAATTATCATAGAGAGGATTCATGTAGACCCTGGTGACTGTGACAAGGTGGGCAACTCCATTTCAGACAAGTTGACCTTAATAAAGAATTATAAAGAAATATTACTTGATGGTTACACCACTTGACATGTTTACAAGGCATTAAAACAACCATTTCTAGAAAAGTAGTGTATACATATAAAATATCAAAATAAATTAAATCTAGATTAATACATTTCAGATGACATATTTAAGAACTTGCCATGTGCTTTGTCACTGACCAGCCTTGTTGTTTAGATATCAAGCATTACTCAGAATGATGTTTGTACTTTTGTAAAACTAGTCCAATGCACAAATAACAAACAAATTGAATTGATGCATGCAAAGGCACACATGCAAAAGCAAAAAAAAACACCCCTACAATCTTGAGATTTCTTAAGGCTGTCTCGGTCCTTAAATGTACTGTTTCATAAGGCAGTGAGTGGAGAGACAGAATGTGTGAGTGAAAATGTCACCCTGTCCTGTGGCAGAGCAATACTTTTACATCCACACAGAAACAGAATAGTGTAAATGTGTGTGAAAAGAGAGAGGAAGAAAAGCTCGTCTTTGGCTCTTCTTGCCTCTTTATTGGCTTAACACATTACTAAGTCCTAATCAGGAGCGTAGGGGCCGCACAGGTTTACAAAGTGGGGAGGTTTCACAGGTCAGCGCTGTGGACATAGTCAGTTCTGACCAGACACAGTGTCCTTAGAGAGTGAGAGTGAATGAGGAAAAGACTGATGTGAGACAAGGACAAGAACCAAATGCAGACATTAAAATTAGTTCACCTCAATTCACTTTCGTGAATCAATCTTCACACAAACCTTTTAGCTTTCAATCTGACTGTCACACTCTAGAGTCTCATTCTGCCCCCTTCCTCAATCTCTCCATACGCTGGTTTATTCAGATTTCATTCACACCATTTCTTTCTCCAACGCTTCAATCTTACAATCTGCCACTTTGCGTCAGGCACCTCCCTTGTCACTCTCTTGAAAATCTTTCTCCTCCTTTTACATGTAATTTTCTTCACTCTCCCAGAGTTTCCTGCATCGGTATGCAGGAGCGTCGCAACTGCTGAGAAAGAAAGCCTATGCAAAGACGAAAAAATTAAGCAATAATGTTCTGTCACAGTCAGGGTTGATCAGGACTCTGAACCCTGAGTTACAGACCAACCAATTAAATACATGAGCATGAAATAACAGTTTTAGTACAAATTGTTATCATTTGAAAAGAACCAAAGATTACTATATATGGTATTGACTATAGTGTTAGCACAGGTTGATGTCTCAATCTCTATTTCTAACATTTGTCTCTACAGTATCACTTTCTCAGAAAAGGACAAACATGCCAAAGTCTCACCCTACGGACACTGGTGCACAGGACAGGACTGTTCAATCTGCATCAATGTGACAGAACAGTGCCAAAGTTAATGTTGTTTCATTCCTTTTTCTGGCAAAAACAGCCACAGGCATACTGTACCTGTGCGTGTGTGAGACTCATTGAGCAAGTAGAGAGATGCCAGAAATGGTACTCCTCGATTCAGTAAGGAGCTTTGATCTCTTTTGAGAGGGTGTCGGTTAAAAGGCACACAGAAACTGAATAAAACATGGACTTAAACTAGATGCAGCATTAATTTGCAAACACACGTCCTCTCTCGCTCTGCAACAAAATTATATACAGTAGTCCTTCCCTTTGAAATGAGTGAATGAACACAGCATAAGTGTGTGTGAGTTTATTGGGGACAGTTTTGTTAGCTAAAGTTGACAACCTCACTTTGGGGTAAATTAAAAATGTACGTACACTGGTGGTCTTCATCTTCAGGTGATAAATAAGCCACGTGTAGTGGAACTGAGTTTCCTCTGCGTTGACAGATTTAGGGTGGATACAAACTTTCCCATCAGCCTTAGTGTAAACCTTCACTGGCCTGCAAAAGCATAATTTCAAGATTCAGTTTTCAAAAATGATGTAATTTTACAGATCAAACAATGGACTTTACTGAAAGTCTACACACAATTTCAGACATTTCTTCTCAGAGATTGTTTAAACATTTAAATGTGGATCTATACTGGGGCTATTATTGTGTCATCAATTTCAGATTTGCCCCTGCCTAAGTATCTTTAAAAAAAAAAAAAAAAACTGTAGTAAGTCACTTTACATCTTGTTCAGATAGCCCCAGTCTACTATGGGAATGACTACTTGACATTCACTATGTGGGCAGTTTTATTCTAGAATTACTTTTGCTGGATTGGACAACTGGCATACAGTCTGGTCCACTTTGCATGTTATTCTGAACCTGAACTGCCCACTTAGACAGGAAGTGACCATCTGACCAATATGTAAAGCAGCAAACCATAGTTCATTTTGGTCTTATGTGCTGTTTAGGGGCAGGTTTATCTAAAATAACAGAAACAATAATAAACCACCCAGGGGAGAAGAGAGAAAAATAAATAAATAAAAACATGACACAGGAGTTCCTGCCAACTTGCCACTTGTAAGCTGAGCTTGTATGTAGAAATGCGGTTGAATGCTCTGTACTGTAATAATCTTTTTTTGTACAGGAATTCTGATCACAGACTTAAGCCCTATTCGCACGGGATTAGTATTATCTGGGGACCTTGTGTGATTTTGAAATTACCCCCCCCACATCTGAATTTCGTGTGGTGCATTCGCACGGGATAAGCGAAGCCTGTGATTTTACTCGAATTTACGGACTTATCTCCCGGATACCCGAATGTCAAGGCTTTTAGAGTCCCGTTCTATGGTCCAGTAAGATGGATTTAAAAAAATAAACTAACATAGTTTTGTGCCCTCTGTCATTTACATTTCACCATATTAAAATAATATTTCAAGCTTTATGCTTGATTTATTTGTAACACTTTAACCTCGCAACCTTTTCAGCTTTCTCTTTCTGCAAATTGTATTGTATGGTGTCACCAGGTAATACTAATCCCGTGCGAATAGGGCTTTAGATTACTGTTCAAGTTTAGGGGTCAACTAAATGCTATACTTTTGTGCTTTCTGTTCTTCACATAATCCAAAAAATAAAAAAATAAAAAAATAAAAAGCACACCTGTTTTCAACAATGACAATAGAAGGAATACAGGAATAAATTACATTTTATAATGTATTAAAATAGAAAACGGTTTGTTGTTTTTACTGCATTTTTCATCAAATAAATGCAGCCTTGATGCATTTTCAAATTTCTGAACGTTATAAATTTATAATATAAATATTTGGCAGACTTTAAACTCAGAGACAAAAGTCTGGTCTGGTAACTCATGAATATTTCAATCTAGCACCAGAGAAACTCGACGAAACTTCAGTGAAACATAATTGAAATGCGGGACACTGCTTGCATTTTGCAGGATGCAGGGACAAAGCTCACAATTTCAGGACTGGCCACCTTACTAGAGGACACCAACCACCTCAGCGTTGTAACAATGAGAACTTCAAACCATCACTGACATGGCTAATAACTGAGCCAGACAAAAACTAGTCACAATATCGGTGTTAAAAACGAGAAGATAAAACATAACAAATCAAGGTTTCTTTACTGACTTTGGT